ATCGAACCTTTCGCATTCCCTCACCATACCTTGATACACACCACCGATACTCTTTTTGCCGACCCAAAGATATGGTTCTCAGCGATGACGAAGTGGGCTAAAACTACTTCCCATTCTTCCTGTGTCATCGATCCCAACTTTGTACTCTTGACTCTCCATGCCCTTGCCGATGTCTTCAGAGACGGCCAGTTGGCTGAATACGCTATTGCAGTAACTTTCGCGTGTGACAAGGATCTTGGTAAGAAGTATGGGAAGCGACTCTTGAAGGAGCGATCATCAAACCTGAGACTTTACAATGCCGTTGCGCTCATGTATTGGCGAACTGGCGAACTTGAAATCGCTCACAATGTGTGGTCCAACGCTTTATCTATGAGCCAGAACTTTGGCCCCTACGAGCTCACTGACTCTGTATTTTTGTGGAACTCGTGGGTTTGGGAAATGCTTCACGCTGGTCAAAAGAATCGAGCATCATACCTGTTGCAGGCTATGCCTTACAATCGAGTCCACTTGCTGTCATACGACACAACTGATGAAATTGAAATTAATCGAACGAATTTTCTCAGGATCAAAAAGGCAAGTTTTTATCCGTTGATCTCACTGAGCGCCATGCTAACCATTCACAGTGTTTGTTTATCGCTCAGAAAAATGCCTTGGATCTCAGGAAAATGCAAGCATACACAGCTTACGTGGACTGCTATGCTATCGTCCTCTATCTCATGGGCGAGCGACTTGAAGACGTCCTCGAGGTTTATACTAACGCTGCCACTTCTCTTAGAGTCCTGTCCAGCACCCATGATCATTTCAGGGTCTTCGGTGGAGAATTGCTGCACCAATCTCGAGCCCGGATCCTGTACCACTATGTGGACAAGCAGAGTGGCCAATTCAGACCTGCCGATGTTCGTGCGCTGCTACTGGACAGCCTAGAATGGTGGCCTCACAACACCCTTTTCTTGTCGCTGTTCAAATGGAACGAGGCTCGGCTGCATATGAGCGACCGAACCCGCGATATTTTCGACGTCACCATCGGGGCTAAAGCTAGGGCCGCACTGGATCTACGAGGGCCTACGTCAATCTACCGTGTGCCGGTCACAACTCACCTTTTCAGCATCTACGCTGAAATGGGCCGCCCTCTCATGCTCGGCTCGACCCCCCACTCAATTCGGGCGGCCTTCGAGCGAGCGATCGGCGATGCTGGGGTCGTCCCAATCGGGCGGACCCCAACACGGAAGAGCCCCTTCGATCTGGCAAGCTCGACCTCTGCGCAGAGCAACCTCACTATCTGGAGGTTGTACATCCTCTACGAACTGTACGCTGAGTACAACGTCGGCCGCGCCCGCGAGATCTCCTTCCGGGCCCTGCGCTCCTGTCCCTGGTCGAAGGAGCTGTACCTGCTCGCCTTCGAACACTTGCGGGCGGACTTGACCAACCGCCTGCCCCCCTGCCGCCTCAACCGGCCAGGGGAGGTCAACCCTTCGGGGTTCGACCCTGCAGAGCTTCGGGCTCTGTACTCGGAGATGCTGCGCCGTGGACTTCGGGTCCACTACCATTTGGAGGGCTTCTGGGCCGAGTAGGCCCTGAAGGGGAGTGAGAGTTGGGGGTGGGGGAGGGGAGGAAGGGGAGAGAACAGTGGGGAATCCAGATGACGACCAGGTGGAGGGGATGCATCTCAGATCCCCTTCACCTGGATGTGAGAGTAACGTCAACTTGTTCTGAGAAGTGAAGACCCCGTGCTTCACTTGTGTAATTCTAATGAAATACATGTATGATTCCACCCACGGTCCAAGCGTAGGAAAGCTAGCAATGCTGTAAAAACTATCTTGACGTAAACTATCAAAACAACAAAACCGGAGTCTGTGTGCATTGCATGTTGCCCAGGCACGAAAGGTTACCAGGACGGGACTTCAATCTAGACTTCCAACATATCATACTGGAGACTTGGATTAAATAAAACTGTTGTATAGATTACTACTAGGCGGGGGACTCGGTAGAAAACAGCAGAAGAATCATTAATGTATTAAAGCTAGAAATGCAGGGGTTTGTCTGAACGAAGGCTCATTGGGTAGCAAACAAGCAATGAGGCAAACATGCAAATAGCAAATATGCACGCATTGGGATAATGTTCAACAAAAACGACACCAATACAAATTCGATGACGCACATAGTCATTGCAACGTCGAGCGGTCTTTCCCACAAGCTCCTAGCCCGTGCAAAAGTCCACGGCCCTCGCCTTAGTCTAGATGTCTATATAAAACACGGCCTTGACTATACTCAACCATCTTTCTTAGACTATCGGGGCTCCCAAAGCTAGCTATCAATCTATGGCAAGCGTTACTTGAGTTCACAGACTCTTCATCCATTCGGCTGGCAAGAGGTCCTAGATATTCTGTTTTTCATAGCACTACAACTACTGGATTAAAAAATGGTATTTCCACTTCCCAGTTGAACTTCATGCAGTGACATGGCAGGTAAATAGGGCACAACAGTTACAATAGGCCTACTATTTGAACAGAACTAACCTGAAATACCGTTGTTGCCGTGATATAATCTATCTTGGTTATGTACATTACGATGTCTCACTAAAGAAACGATTCTCGGGTCTCTCCAGACCAAAGTGTGCACGCAGTGTCGATCCCGTATAGTCCTTGCGGAAAAGACCTCTGTGCTGAAGTTCAGGGATCAATTTATCTGTCACCTCATCCAGGCCCTGGGGCAAGAACGGGAATGTGAACGTGAAGCCATCAGAAGCCTCTTCACGCAACCAGGTCTCCAACTCCTCGGCAATATCACTTGGCGAACCGAGGAATGTCAGCCCTGAATATCCACCATATCGTTGCGCAAGCTGGCGGATAGTAAGTCCCTCTTTCTTTGCCAGCTTCTCAACAGCCTCCCTGGCTGTCTTGCTCGCGTTGGTCTCGGGGAGGTCATCTGGCAACAAACTATCCGGATCAAGATCACTGACGTCCACCCCAAGCGAGATTGACAAGGAAGCGATGGCACTGTCGTAATGCACCAGACTATCCAACTTAAGTCTCTTCTCCTGTGCATCTTGCTTGCTATCCCCAACAATAACCATTGCCGCGGGTAGAATCTTCAACTGGTCTCTCTTCCGTCCCGCCTTCTCCACTCGTCCTTTGATATCCGCATAAAGGGCCTTCGCACCCTCAATATCCTTTGGGCTACAAAACACAACTTCGGCAGTCTCAGCTGCTAGCTGTCGTCCTGGTTCACTTTGCCCTGCTTGCACAATAACCGGCCATCCCTGCGGTGGCCTGGCAATATTCAACGGCCCGCGAACCTTCAACTCCTCGCCAGCGTGGTTCAGCACATGCATTCTCGCGGGATCAAAATATTCCCCTGTCTCGACATTGCGGGTAAAGGCATCATCGGCAAAACTATCCCACAGCCCCGTAACAACATCATAGAATTCACGAGCACGCTTATACCGATCACCATGAGCCAAATGCTCATCGAAGCCGAAATTATGACTCGACTCCGGGTTTCCGGTAGTCACAATATTCCATGCCGCTCTTCCGTTACTCAGGTGATCGAGACTGGCAAATCGCCGGGCAACATGATACGGCGCGCCGTAAGTGGTACTAGCGGTGGCGGCAAGACCAATCTTTTCCGTTACGGAAGAGAGAGCGGAGAGCAGAGTAAAAGGTTCGAATGAGGTAACCGTATGACTGCGCTTGAGAGCTTCGACGGGCATGTTCAGTACAGCCAGGTGATCGGCCATGAAGAAGGCATCGAACTTGGCGGCCTCTAGCTTTTGAGCGAACTGAGCGATGTGTTTAAAATTGAAGTTGGCGTCGGGATACGAGCCCGGGTACCGCCAAGCACCTGTGTGTAGCGAGACTGGCCGCATGAAGGCTGTGAGGTGCAGCTGGCGGTTGGGTTGTGGGTCGGTCATCTTGTAATTGATTTGGTTGTCCTCCGGGTTATACCTTTTTCAAAAAAATAATAATCTTGGCAGATCGATTCTTATTTGGAATGAGAATAGCTGTGATTCCAAGGTTATATACCCCGCTTGGCTTGGGTATTTCCAAGCGGATTTATAAGCCTCGCTCACTTGGGGGAGATATGGCGTGCTTAGTTGGAGCTGCGTATATATAGTTGTCTATGTAGATGTGAAGTACAAAACCAGCACTTGTCAAATACAATTATCCTAAGTATTATAGTATGTCCGGTGATGTTTCCAAGGTTAGGTTTATCAAATACATCAAAGCATATAATATGTCAACACAGCATTCGGGGGTTTAAATGGGATCGCCTAAGAGATAAAATTGTCCGACTCATAGATGTGACAGACGTCTTCGTGAGTTTGGATACTTATAACTTTACTACGTTTGATCTAACCGTGAATTAGCCCCCACGAGGGCCATGCAATCAAGCACTCGACCAGCTCGACAACTTCAGACATTGCATTTCAGGGCAAAAGTCTGGCTACTCCGAAGGCGATTATTACTCTCTTCACCCGGCCTGTATCCTCCACGAAGTACTCAATGAAAGAAAATGTAATAATATCAAAAATGGAGCATAGTGTGATATCTAAGGATGGCCACATGGTAGTGGCCATACCTTTCCCTGGGGACCTAGATCCTGTGAACAGCCTGTATTACTCACATCGACGATCGCATCGAAGATATCAATTGTCGCTAAATGTGTCATGAGTTGCATTGATAATCAAAGTCGATGGGGGTTGTAATATCGGCCAAAATCCGCAGTAACACCTTTTGATCTTGACCGAGGATGTATTGACTTGGTACTCAAGAACTGAAAGGATCTTATTATGAAGACTGATGTTTTCAAGAACTGCCATAAAAGGCGAACTGCTTTTCAGATTGAAGATTGTCCAGGTAGAGAACAGAGTAATGCCCCTCCAGCACGATATATTTCATTGATGAATTCATCTGGATCCAGGAGCCAGCGGCGGAGGTCGTGGATACTATCACAGCTAGTCTGAATACGCTGTCTATCTCGAATAGGAGAGGAGTACACCGCTAGCATTTAGGAACCTTTTGGGGCTCTTCCTCCTCTGATTCAGAACCATGCCGAGATGACGTATCAAAGCCGTGGATGGAGGACGATTCGGATTTGGCACCAGAAGAGCTGTCCAAGCCTGCATAAGAAGAATCGTCAGAGGGCGTGTCGGGCATAGCGCTAGGACTTTTCTGGCCAGGGCTGGAGATTTGAGTGGGGTCACTCCCAGAACTGTCACGCAGGATAACAGTTTGAATGTCACTGTCACTATCACTGCCATACTGAGCGGGCATATCCCATTTAGCGCTTGTGCCGGCTTCGAGACTTAAATAAATCGATGGATGGAGATTTGGGTCCTGCTGCAGTGGGAATCTCAAACATGATGACTGTTTAGACCACAGTATTACACTGCGTAGACGTGCCAATTTTGAGCTCGCAAATTTCTTCGGCAAACGGGTCAATCAAAATTGATGGTGGTGGTTTAGTCTTAGTGCAAATACCGGACATAACAGTGTCAGTATCAGTGTTGAACTGAGTAGACGTCCCAGGCATGGTAATTGGAAGGTACCTAGAAAGGATATGTGGAGTGAAGTGCCCAGGTGAAAGAAAGAGTGGAGAAGATATGCGGCTCAATGGCCTTGGCAAACCCTAACTGTGAATAGAGACCAGATGGATGGGTCCGGACTTGGTCACTGACTAGTTACCTATATTGCTTTACTTGCAACAACAACCATCTAGATAGTTATACTATAGGGAAATAGAGGTAGGTACATTAAGTGTAGTATATGTGCTTTTTTATGGGTCACATGACCCTTAGGCACCAAATCAATATTTGGTGCCTTATACCTCAGGTGTGAAAATATTCGAGTTAACTTGTATCTAGGCAAGGTTCATAACCAAATCCTGAAACCCTAATGAGAGTTCACACCTGCAGGTAATTGATTGAGGTGGGTGAGCACACTGAAATGGATGTCTGAGGCCAGGATTGCCAAAGGACAGTGTTTTGTAGTACTACCATTCAGATCATGTAAGTATGGATACATGGAGATTGAAAAGTCACAGAGGCAATAATTACCTACCTAGGTAGGTAATACATTATTCAATTATCCAGGTCACGTGCTGGCTGATCGTATTACAGGGGCCAGACACTGTCTCACCCCCATCCACCACCACACATGAACCACGCAGTACTTTCAGAATCAGTCTCATCAATACCTCTCAATTTTATCAATAACCTGATGCCCACGTGATTGGGGCCCGTGTTTTCTTGGAAGGAGGCACCATCAGAACCATTACATTTGATGGAATATGTGCCGACTCTCATCCGTGCGTGTTTGGTGCTACGTTCGGAATAAAATACAAAGCCCGAAGCAATACAGCCGATCAATCTCGAAATCCTCACTGCTGTCCCAATATCACTATCCCACCAACATGAGCTCTTCCCAGTCAGGTGATTACGCCCACCGAGCGCGATTAAACACATCACTAGACTGGAACTCCAATGATGAATTCTTCAAATTCACGCGTGGTCGGTTTATTGTCGATGAGGCAGATAATCTTCGAAGGCGAGAGATCAAATTCGACTTGAACAGGCTCGCAAGAGTCGCGGCGGACTCGGTCGGGGCGGCTCAATGCATTTCTATCAAGAAGTACCCCGACGGCATGTTCAACAAAACATTTCTTATGACCATGAACGATGGTCGAGAAGTCGTAGCTAAGGTACCTAATCCGAATGCTGGCGTTCCACACTTCACCACGGCTAGTGAAGTCGCCATAATGGACTTCGTAAGTTCATCTTAAACTCCATAGACCTTCAATGTTGTCTAATGCGACTGGATTGGGAGGCTAGTAAAGTTCTTGACACCCCAGTGCCGTATGTCCACGCATGGAACTCGCAAGCAAAGTTGCATCCTGTTGGGGCTGAATTTATTATCATGGATAAAGTCGAGGGTGTGCCACTGGCTCAAGTCTGGAGCACGATGCAACTACAGCAGAGGCTTAAAGTTATTCTCGCCATGACAGGTCTGCAGAAGCAATGGCTGAGCGTTTCATTCTCGCATTACGGCAGCCTATACTACGCCGGAGACCTACAGTCCCCACAAGGCAACCACTATGTTAAGGATGGCATGGTCATTAAAGATTCAGAGTTTGCTATTGGGCCGGCTACTGGTCGAGATTGGTTTGATGCGGGCAGATCAAGTTTGGATATTGAAAGAGGACCATGTAAGCTAGGGTTTATATGTTCTTCTCACCCCTACTGACGAGTTTGTAGGGGTTTCTCTAACGCAGTATCTGCAAGCCGTTGGTACGCGAGAGATTAAAGCAATCCAGTATCTGAAACCACCAAAACAGATTGCTTTATTCTGTGGTCCAAAACTCTACCAACCCAACGCGGAAAAGAAGCTTGCTGCGTTATCATGGTACCAAAAGATCGTTGATGCCCTTATCCCAAAGGATACCTCTATCACCAACTCATGCCTCTGGCATAATGATTTGCATGATGACAACATCTTTGTAGACCCACATAACCCCGGAAAGATCACAGGTATCATTGACTGGCAGTCTTGTCACATCTCACCCCTCTTCAATCATAATCCCGATCCAGCTTTCCTCGACTGGGATGGCCTTGAGCCTGAGACGCTCGACCTAGTACCAAGGCCGACACTATCTGGGCTTTCCCCCGAAGGACGGTCCGCGGCTATACGCGAGTATACAATTCAAAACGTTTTCATTGGATGGCGAAAACTCATGCATGCTAAAAATCCAGACTTACATCGGGTAGTCGAATTCCGAAAGACCGCGGCGTACGGACTGATATTTCTTGCTCACCGTATGTTCGAATACGGCGAGGCGCACTTCCTATCGCTTTTAGTCGATCTGAAAGACACGTGGGCGGAGTTACCTGGGGTCACTAGCGACACTCCATTCCCGTTTGACTTTTTGGAAACAGATTTCGAGCGCATCAAGCTTGACAGCGATGATGCGATAGCAGGAACTGAGCTTGTGTCTGAGATCAAGGAGAAAATGGGCGATTTGTGGCCCGACAAAGGCTTCGTTGAACACGAGCGATACGATGATTGCAAAGCTGCCCTCGACGAAGTCAAAGATCAGATACTAGAGCAATTGGCTGAGACTGACGAGGAAAAAGCTGAGTATCAGCGTTATTGGCCATTTGAATGATCTCGATTTTTTTGTTACGAAATCAGAGTGATCTTCAGTTCTTGTAACCGGCAGGAGGTTGATCGGGCGTTCTGCTGGTCCGGTGGGTTCATCTCCTACCATAATCAACCGAGCCTGGAGCGCCAATACCGCGACACGATCAATGCTGTGGGTCATTATCTTCATCGGAGTGGATATTTTGGGCCCGCCGGGATCGATGTCATGACTGACGAATCTGGGACTCAGCTCGTGGTGGACCTGAATAGCACGTATCACCGCGACCTATCATTTAGGCCCGCTGCGTGGCCATTTCACTTGTCGGGGTTTTTTTTGAGGCGGCAGCCCTCATAGACTGAAGTGCACACGGGCCGCATCCGAGCGACACTTTGCCACCGAATTCCGCCAGGGATATGTCTTGATGACTGCATGGGTGCGTGCAAGGGAGGCGAGCCTGGCAACAATCACAGTGGCTGCAAAGGATCTCACCAGTCTTCGGGAGTCGACACAGAAGCTTTCTGACTTTGCCAAATGGGGACATACCGTCGATGATCTATTATTGCCTATTAGTGAGGGGTGCAGAGAATTCATTCATCAGCCATCTATACCGAGAAAGAGACATCTTCGGAATAAGAGACACCTAAATTCTTAAATAGCGTATCCAGATAGCTTGGGGGGTAAAAAGCTCAATATAAAAACATGTAGGTTTCATATAAGTCCAAGGAATTCATTAACAAAGAGGTGGTAAAATAGATGGGTAGTTAGGAGCCACAGATGGATATAGATGCTAACGGATATGATTGGCTGAGAGGTAAAGATCGAAGACCTTGGCAATGTCCATGGATCTTTTATGGAAACAAAAAAAAGAATGCAACGACGGCTGCATGATTCGAACATGCGCCCGCGAACGGAATTGATTTCTAGCTGTTGGAATTGTTAGTGAATGTGTTGGTGGATATGTTTGGATGAAGAGAAACGTACTCAATCGCCTTAGACCACTCGGCCAAACCGCCATTTGATGATATTTTTCAGACCAAAGTGGCTATATGAAGAGACATTCAATTAAATGCTTAAAGTAACAAAATTTGCCTAATTGGGTAATATTTTGCTACATGTATCTCAACAACATCAGTCTATAATATCCTTTCCTTATGGCCTGATGCTATTTAGGTAATATATAGCCTCGCTACGGGGTTTGGGACTAAAGGGCCAGTCTAATTTATAGTCATGCGATGGGCATGGATTGCAATGATTACTAGTAGAGAAAAAGACCTCGGATTGATAATGGCGTTTGACAATTGAACATTCAGAGCCTATTGTTGCAATGGGTGCCTTTCCATTTGCCCATTGCCGGGGCGGGTATACATGAGGAGGCATATAGTACGCTTCGTTTTAAAGTGGTAGTCCCATGTACCTAGGAGAATGATCATGTCACGCACTATATATATCGGAACCTGGACAATCTGAGCGTAATGCTCAGATATACTGGTCTTTTGGCCTAGTTTGTAACTCGCCAGTCCAGGGGCAGATTGTAACAGAGAAGCAATAAATCCACCATTTCATCAAACCTGGAGAACTCGGTGAAGAACTGATCGGCAGCTTAGTGCATACAAAGCCGATGGTGGGCCCGATTCATGCGTGCACGTATTTCAAATCTGCAGGTCATTTACGCGTCCGATAGATCTACTTCATGCACCCTAGCTTGGAATCACGGAAGAGGCGAGCTGAAGGCTTGCGCGTCATATATGTTGTACCTGTTTTCACCGTAACTCCCACCGACTGAGCGGTCAGAACGACTGACTCCTTGACCGATTCGATGGTTGGTACGGTATATACTTATACTCGACCAATGACATCAGGGATTAAGATCACAACATTCGAGCTGAATTCCGATCATGACAGTGTCTGAACGGCCATCTCTGGGCGAACCCGTCCCTAGGAGACCCCATGCAGTATCAGTGCAATTGGAAACATGGAAGGACATTGTTGGCATCGGGCTAGGCGACGCCAAATTGCTTGCGACCCTCCAACATGGATATCCTCGATCAATTCTGCACAAGAGCGTCAAGGATGTAAGTACGCTGAAAACCAGAGGGGTCAACGACACTGCAGACAACATGCGCTAATTGATTTCGCTTGTGATGCCGGTAGTTGTCCATTCGCTGCAGAGATATGTTAGACCAAAAACATGTCCGCGACTCGATCATGTTGTTCAGCAGTGGTACAGCAGCCAGCCGCTGCAGGGACTACATTCTAACACTCAAAGGGGATAAGGAGGCTGATGTTCGTCCTTCATCTGTCCTGCTATATCTTATTGAGGTCCTCTCGCATCCAGGACACAACAGTTACGACCAAGCGAATGACGTTCTTTATGCCGTTGCTTATCCCCAAAGTGCCGCTGTACTGGCAGCGACATTCTGGAGACTGACCGGAACAGGACTCTCATCTCGACAGGCGGAGGACTGTTTACGAAAACATGTTGATCTTCAGCCCATGCAATTGGATCTATCTCGAACCAGACCCTCGCCGATAACACTCCATCCCGTTTATAATGCTCTGCGCTTACGAATCGCTAGCCTAGTCGAGCGCACAGTACCGACGGTCCCAAGGCCAAACAAGGTGACCAACTCCGACGTTTTCCTCTATCCATCGGGTATGTCAAGCATCTACCACGTTCACCAGCTCCTCCTCAACTGGCGACCGGGAGAGACTGCAATCCTAGGCTTTTCATACGAACTCACGATCAAAATGATGGAGACCTATGGACCGGGATTGCATTTCTACTCGTTTGGGACTGATGGAGAGCTCGACCAGCTGGCATCGTACTTGGAACAGACACCGGCGGAGGTCCACAAAATGCAGGCCATTTGGTGCGAATGCCCATCAAATCCGTTGCTGCGGACTGTTAACTTGCGCCGGGCGAGACAGCTGGCCAAGAAACATGACCTGGTTGTGGTCGTTGATGAGACAATCGGGGGTTTTGCCAATGTCGATGTTCTCGATGTCGCAGATATCGTTATTTCATCCCTCACCAAAACCTTCAATGGTTATGGCGACGTTCTCGCTGGGAGGTGAAGCCTGTACAATTCTCTTCGTTTCTGCGGATGGAACTAATACGATTTGTAGCGTAATCTTCAACCCCAATTCGGTTTACTATACGGAGCTCCACAGCCGACTGTCTGCATCTTACGCCAACACACTTTACGTAGAAGATGCCATTCAACTAGAGAGAAATAGTCGAAACTATCTTTCTCGCACCGCCAGAACGAACGAGACCGCTTCCTACCTGGTCAGCCGTCTCATTTCCTTGGTTGACGATCCGGCTAGTCCAATTGCTGCCGTCTATTATCCATCCGTGTGTTGGTCAGTGGAGAACTATCGTGCGCAAATGCGACCAGCCACGGCAGACTTCATCCCTGGATATGGCTGTTTATTCACCATTCGCTTTGAAGATGTGCCTTCGGCCATTCTATTCTTCAACAACTTTCATGTCTGCAAAGGTCCGTCATTCGGGGCAGATGTAACCATTGCCCTGCCCTATGTACAAATGGTCTTGCAGAATGAAAAGGACTGGGCGAGACGAAATGGGCTGGAGGAAACGATTGTACGAGTTGCCGTTGGGCTGGAAGATAGGGCCAAGATATGGAACCGTATGGAGGATGCATTGGCCGCAGCGAGTATGGGACGGAAACAAATATAGTGCAACTCCCTGATTACATAGTTAAACGCATCAGCGAGGAGAGAAAAGGGGGACAAGATAGACTTCTAGTGACATTAGGTATACTATTATGGCAAAGATGGCAATATATTGTTCCATACGAGGAAACGTGCCAATTGATAGGGCACTTTATATTTGCTAACATAAGATGCCCTTGCTCTCTATTACACGATGTACGTGTACAAGGAAAATCCTTCAAGTCCCAGATATCACTCTTACACCGACTTCTCCAATATTTCTAGCATCGCACACGCCAGCCGACGAACTCCCTCCGTCAATCGACCCTCGTCCTCCCAAGCGAAACAGAGTCGAATGTAGCGGTCCAGCCCCGCTTGGTCAGACGAAGGATCCCCCTGAACCTGAAAGATGCCGCCCGTGGCCACTTTCACTCCATGTGCCTGTAGTGAAATTGGTGCTAGCGTATTGGCTGATAATGGAGCCGGAAGCTGAGCCCAGATGAAATAGCCACCCGCCACCTTGGGCTGGGGGGGAAGAGTAACTCCGAGGGGAAGTAGATGTTCTCGAATGGCGTCCATCAAACGGTGATATCTTCTCGAATACATCGGCTGCAAGCTCTTTTCCAAGTACTGTTGGAACACCCCAGTCGGAAAGAGCTGGTCAATGATCGCGGCGGCGAGGTGCGATGGGGCCCCTCCAGACCGAGTCGAGCCGCTAGTAATTTCAAAGTTAGTCTTCCAGCGATCGTGATTACCCTCAGCAAGAGGAAAGGGGGACATACGCTTGTGATATACCCCAGGCCATCTTTTCCGTCCCCTCGGCCCACCCTGTGCGTGTTCCCGGTCCGATCAGCTTGCTAAAACTGCCGTTGCTGACGGTGTGACCCCATTCGTCCCGGGGCCCCCCGTCGAGGTATCGATCCACGTCGACCAGACGCGGCTGACAAGCGCGACCAGGCGCTGGGAGCTGTTGTGTAGGATCCGGCGACCATTGGAGGAAGTCGTATACGTCGTCCGTGATGATCAGCGCATCAAACTCCCGCGCCAGCCGAACTAGCTGCTCTCGCTCTGACAATGACATCGTCCGGGTGGCTGGGTTTGAGAAGGTTGGGATTGCATAGATCAGATGCTTGTATACCTTGCCCCATGGTCGAGAGGGTTTATGGGTCTGTGAACCGTCAGCTCAATGATTCCCAATGACATCCCGTTTCACTCCTTGGATCGTCTGTACCGGCTTCAGGTTGCCTTCTTCAACCGCTTTTGCTTCCGACGCGATCAATTCTCGACGCAAATACGCCAAATCAATTCCGGACTCGTCCTCGGGAATTGCGCGCATTCGACCGGTAAAACCGGCATCGTCCATCATCCGGCACGCCAGAAAATACGTGGGGGCCACCATCCACACATTGCGGGTGTAGACTGGATCCGTGTATACTTGTAAAATGCACGCCAAGTTTTGGCTGGCACCGCCCGTAATACAGATCCTCTCGGCCGGGCTAGGCTCAGGAGGCTGGTAGAACGAGGTTAACCACTCGGCCACATGTTGTCGCAGAGGCGCATAACCCTCATCGGGGCCATATACCAACGCGTCCGCTTGGATCTTGGGGTCGGCCATGACCGCCGCCGAGGCCGCCGTCAAGGCGTCCATCGGCAACAAGCCTGGGTTTGGGTGACCGCGAAAGAGGTCAATCACATCGTTCACAAGAGATCCCATTCTCAATGCGCCGAGGAGTTCTTTGGCAGTAATCAATCGTGGTAATCGCTTAGGCCATCATGATTTGCCCGTGGTGTCAGCCAGACTATATGTAGATCTTTACTAGACCGCCAGTCAGACGTGGAACAAACCTAATGCTATGGTTGCAGTTTTAATGCATCACGGGCTAGATGGCCTTGGAAGGGCACTATGAATGGACCCATTTCCAGCAGTCTTTGCCCGCTGATCGCCACGGGATGCAGTTCATGTGATCGTAAAGGGGCGTCGACTCCCGCATCGGACCCGCATCGATATACTCATCATACTCACCACACCGCTCCTGTTCAGCTCGAGCACAGTCCGACACCATCGCAGATCTGGAAGAGATGTCATGCGTCATTTCACGAGAGGATGGGCGATTTGCATACATCTGATGACGTACGGGGTGGCCGATATGATCAACACAGAAGAGACAATACTTCCAACCTTAGAAGGTTTGATTCCAACGATCCACAAACTTGATAACTTTCCCCGTGGTAGTACTCCGTCCTCCGTCCAAACCCTCCAAGACCATCCAGAAACACGATTCGGAAGAGACATTCATTCTTAGGGAGCACCGTGAAGAAAGCCTGAATGCGTTGGATAAGAGCATCATCCGATAAAATGCCATCCCGAGGTGGGGAGCGAAGTAAACGAATCTCTAGCGTCGCCTGCGGAGAGCTCTCCAATCGACCTAAAAGGATCTGCTACTGTAGGATGCCGCACTCTTCTACCTACCACAGAAACGATCTCGACTATTATGTTGCGTGTGTCGATGATGAAGTCCGTGATGTTGCTAGTCAGGCTCTGCTCCCCTGTACATCCTTTCCGGTTTTGGTGTCTTTGGTGTCTTCGGCCTGTCTAGTCTGGGTATTTTCATCAATCGCAGAGCCAGGATCATCATCATGGAATAAATAGATCCGACATCAAATGCTTCGGGATTATGAAGGAACATATTTGACTCTGCAGTCTCAAGATACTCCGCACGTCCGGGATACTATCTCTATCACTATGTAACAGTCGAACGCTGATATATTTGAGGGATTGGGCGTGGCGATAACATCCAGAACATACGTACTATCTAAAAGTCCTGCAATGGAAATTTACCTGTAATTTGAAAGCCAAACAGTACTATTATTGAAAGGACTTTGTCAAGTCTATTGCCATATATTCCTACAACCCAACATTCCCGCTGGTACCCACCCACTCCTATAAGCAGACCGCTTCATGTCCCCTTCAAGATGTAAAATGCAACATAGAAGGGATAACGCAAAGAGTCCATGAAATCATGGAAAAGTAATAATGAAAAAAGAAAGATTCGTGATTCGTGTCATTCGTGAATGATAGAACAAAAGCGGAAAAGGGAAACAGAAAGACGGGAAACAAGACTAGAAGTGTTCCTTCCAGAATTTAAACCGGACGTCCTTGGTTGATGAAGATTTAGCCGCATCGCTAATCTGCATAGCAGCAGTATTAGGACCACAGAAATACACTCCGATCTCGGTTGTAGCAGCACTCTGTAGACCGGTCATGTAAGACTGGTCCAGCAAGCCAAGCCGCATAGCAGTAAAAAGTCGCTTGAAGTCCGGACGACCGAAGTTCGTCCGACTCTTTAGTTCGGTGAGCGGGTCGAGCGCTTGCCCGACAGAATTGAGGTAGATATTTGCGGCGGTGTCAGCGTCGAGACGCTGTGTGAGATACGTATGAATACGCAAGAACTCGGTGCTTCCCTCGCTAGCAGCCGTGTTGGCGGATTGGGCTTCGAGGGAAGATAGTAGAGCTTGGAACCATTCAAATGAAGAGGTATCCTTACAGACCCAAATAAACTCCACACGTCGTAGTCGACGGGGAGGGTTGGGGCTTGAACGCAGATGCCAGATGTTCTTGAGAATAGATGCCCATGGTGTGACGCCAATCCCGGTGCCGATGAGTACGGCAATCTCGTTGTCGAACACGTCTTCTGCGGGTGCTCCGTATGGTCCATCCACGCGGATTGCGGGCATGGTTTGTCCGTTCTGTAAGGCAACTTCGTACATTCCGTTGGGGTCGAGGCCTTCAAGATCTTTAGCTTGGGCGGGACCGCAACCGAGTGCGTCTCCAAGTGCTCGGGTGAAATCTCCGACTTGGCGGACGTGGATGCTGAGGTATGGATCAAAGGGACAGGAGGTAACGGTGAATGGATGCCATTGGGTGCTGGAGACATCAGGCACTTGGAGGAATACCCACTGCCCAGCTTTGTACTTCATGCTTGGTTTGTGGAACTGGATCTCCATGGCGGCTAAGGTCATTTTGTTAGTTGTGGCCAATCTAGCATTGGTGAAAGGAAGCAGATCATACCATAAGGATGACGGATGACTTTTGTGATGACTGTCACGCGCCGGGACCGGATCTCCCTGTAAAGTCGCTCGAAGAGATACAATGCTCCGATGACCAGCTCCCATCTCCACCCTTCATAGCCAAGACAATGATCCCAGAATTGTTGCCCTGCGAAAGGGGAGATAGGGTCGGTGGTATCTCGGACAAAGCACCCAGTGGCGTGCGTATAGAGTGCCAGCATAAACGGAATAAAAAGGTGATGTCCATACCAGAAGGTTTCATACGCTTGCTGGCGGATACGATGGTGTGCGGTGGTATACATGAGCATCATGCACAGGAGCATGACATGGCCAGTGATACCACCTGCGCGAGCAAAATGAATCGTTACTGCAAGTTCTGGACGGATTTGATCTTTTTCGATGTTGTAGAAACTGAGTAGTGTTAACAAAGTAACCAGGGCATGGTGGATAAGAAAGCAGCTTACTTTACGTAGTGAGAAGCGGTGTGAATAGCTGTGAATACTAGTATAGCATAGGCTATTTGCCGATGAAACCACGCCGACTCATCCAGTGGTAACCATCTGATCTGTGGTCTCATCCATCGGAGAATGTTCCGACACATAGGAAATAGGATCAAAGTGCAATCGACGGAAAGGACGAGACCTGCGCCTCGTGAGATCCAGACTGAATAGCTAAGAGCATTCAGCGGCGCCAACTTTGGATTCGAAGCCTGCAGGTACCTATGAGAATGTCAGTAACGCAATCTAAGAGCTGATAGAAGTCAGAATGCATACCATCCTACAGCAAAGATACCAATATGAGAACCCCAAAAGAACAAATGGAACAAGACCTTGGAAACGGTCAAGTCAGCCCTCTTCCACCAGGAATCTTGAGCTGCGGCCATTCTTTCTCCGCGTTTTTGAGAATGTCGGCCAGCGACAAGTAATTTGGTGATAATTCAAATCAAAGGAGTGACGAGTCCAGACGGTTGACCAGCAACCCGGTAATATACACTGAAGTTCTGTCGAAAATGAAATCTCCTGATCAGGTTTCGTGGCAAGATTCCAGTGTGAATGAATATCGACAGATCAATGGGTTCGGAGTCTGTCAACGCCGTTGCTTCTCCATAAACTTGATATAAATCAAGAATATTCCGAGATAACTACCGCTTCGAAGAACTTGAAATGTTCCAAATTGTATCGAACGTGTCGCACTGGGAAAAGCACGCTTGCAGCTTGCAATATTGCTCTGATCAAAATGTATAGAGACTGTATGTGAGTTGTGTGCCTTGTCGCGAGCGCTGTTGGCGTTTCGCCGGGGGATTCCCCTTCGCGTGTCCTCTCGAATACCAGAAGTTACTGGACACTTGGGGTAAAATATGATATTTTATCGGCTGATTCAAGTTGTCCTAGACATGGTTGACGTCAATAGTTGAATAGGAACAAGACCGGAGGGGAGTTGGAGGTTCAGAGAATCCCAGTGTTGTGGTTTTAGCTGCAGGGGTGGGGGCGGCCGATCTATAATTACGTCGCTTCTGGCGGGAACCCCTCCGTATAACCGACGATGGTAGATTTTTAGTCCAATAGACTAGGAGTACTCAAGCCTATAATGTCTGTGCTTTTAAAATTCTCCTAGGAATGGGTAGTGGAGAGAGACCAAGAGAGTAAATCTAGAGGCTAGAATCCTTCGTCGCTTAGAATCCTCAGCTTTTGCCTGATCTCTTTCAACTTGTTATCTTGGCTGATTCTTCCAAGACCGTCAAAGGTACTGCTTATGGTCCTGGAACTCAGTTTAGATTAATACTCTCGCAGGGTTTGCTATTTTTAATGACCGTTCGTCGCAGGCACACCAGTCACAACACGAATTTTATACGCCGGAGGAGTCTGACCACCGTGCCACGTTCCCCGCGAAGGGAGTCTAGTGAGAAAACGGAAGTACACCCTATCCAACCAATCTTGTCCGATTCGGCTCTTTGTTCTAATAATAATGACGGGCTTGAAATGGTGGAAGCTAAACAGTTCGAAGCCGAAGTTCGAAAGAGATTAATGTCCCGAGGGCAGCGAGGCTGGTGAGTGGCCATGAGGGACCGTGAGTGGACAGCGTTAAACGAGACCAGGGAAAGAAGGTTGCTGGGAAATTGGCCTATTACAATCCTCCTGCAAGCGCTGTCTTTTCGTCACACAGGAGCCCCGAGGGTCACCCATCGGTGAAAACACCTGTCATTCGGTTCCGAATCCCTAGTGAGGCGGAAGGTTCGCTCAAATATAGAATAGTGATTGACTTCGAGCTATGTTTCCCCATCAACGAGAATTTTTCTCCCCGATGATAGTCTCCACTTAGCATTACAAGTTAAACCAGGCACGGGCTGCATCTGCAGGAGATGCAGAAAGACGGTGTGTTGCACTGGATTGAACTCAGGGCTACCGCGGTCATCTGATCTGGAAAGTTCCAAACTTGTCTCTGGTACAAAGCTGAGACAGCCCAGACAACCCCCAGCCCAGAAAACAAAGGTCTCGATTGAAATCCTCAATAATAAAAGGACAATTTGAATGTCGATGAGACTTGAGAATGAAAGGCCCCTGTGCGTGTGCCATGCGTGCCACCTGCAGTTCATCACGCCAAGCCTAAGCGCTGTGGTCTCTGATTTGTCGGCATCCAATTTGAAAGATCCGCTCGGTCACATCCCCCACTCTCCAATCACACGGGTTATGGCCGTTCTTCAGAACCTCAAGAAGAGGGGGTTGTCAAGGATTTGGGGGACCTTACCGCTGATAATTGGTCTACGATACTTGTATCCGTGCGGGTCACGGCTTAGCCCTATTCTTCTTGCATGTGTACTAACCCCGTGCAGCGATTCACCATTTTGGCGCTCGACAATCACATCCTGGCCAAGTGTTCCAAGTTCTGTTGTAGTTGGGTTATCAGAGGGGTCGCTTGTCTAAGTATAGATTATTATACCTGGTCCCTCCTGCAAACATGCCACTCAAAATATGCTGCTTTTTCTTCCCCATATGAGATCATTCTACCACGATAAACCCTTGCAATAATACCCACTCTCCATGTGCTTTGGATTATCCAACTCAGTTAATATCTCTATGTCGTACGGGATTATACGATGAAGTGATTCTCTCACAGAATCCGTCGCAGCTATTTGGGGGATTGCGACATTTGCCGCCCAAGATTAGCTCCGCACTTTGTCACTCATACCCAAGTGACTGTATTTCCTCCGATATCTTCGCTGGCCGAAGCTCTACCACACACAACACAGTTCTCGCATAGCCGAGTACCCATAACTCAACACAATGGGCAGACTCATCAAGAACCACTGGGGCCGGTTGATTATCCTCACCGCATCAGCTTGTACGTTGTGCCACTCAAACCTCCCAACTTGAAGCTGAAACTGACAGAATGCAAACAGACCAAGTTGCCAGTGCGATCGAGGGCTTTATCTGGCCCAAAGTATTCTGGGACTTTATCTCCAGGAACCTCGATGCGGCCGTCGCTCCGGTACCCGTTCTACAAATCCTAAACCTCATCATGGGCCTCGTGGGCATCGCCTGGGAATGGCCTCTCAAGCCACTTGCTGGCTCAATACCGCACCGCAGCATTGAAATCCGTCTCATCATATACCCCCTCAGCGCTCTCCTCGCGGCGCTTCTCTATCAAGGTACCGACCCTGCAATATATTATTTGATTGGTATCGGTGTTTATTTCTGGGCCTACAGCGAAGGCGAGGTATGGTTTTGCATATTGTGACATAAAATAAGCTGTTCTTATGCTAACGAGAGGATGTATAGGTCGTCTGTCCGGAGCCTTGGACTTTGCCGAAACGGCATGGACTATTTAAAGCATAACAATGGCTTAGTCTGGTGTGTTGAGGCAGCAGACAAAGATCATGTAAATAGTATAATGTATAACGAACTTGACGACTTGAAAGAATGACTTTGCTTGTATCATTGATCTCCATGTAGATCGTATGGTTATAGCATTAGTGGGAAACTACGCATGCTCCTTCGTATTATTGTTTTGGTAGATCGAAATGTCACTCTATTTCAATGACAACTGACAATCACAACACTGTTCTCCTTTCAAGTATCTAGAATAGTTTCATATTAAATGTTGATGCCTTGTCAACGAGGCAGCGACGACGACCCGCTTGGCACGTGATAGTGTATCCAACTCCAAGAAACACGTCATCTTGACAATAATACTTGCACATTAAAAGATCGAGAAGATCTCATAAATGCCTTGTGCAAAGTCATGGACGACCCAGGCTGCGTGAAATCCAAGAACTAACCAATCAGACTGATACCAAGCAAGATGCCTCCGTCTACAGAAATCCAAGCCAAAGTCGAGGCGGATGATCATCCCCTGGAAACGGTGGAGGATGTCCCAGTCAACAAAATTACCAGCTTCAACGGCAAGCTGCAGCAATACCTACATAACGGGACCACAGTGCAAGATGCCCCAAGTGCATCTGGAACGACTATATCACAACGCCACATAAACACCACCTCGGCCGAATACAAACCAAACCCTACCGACCATCCAGCAAAACCCATAATATCCAGCCCAAGGCGCAAGAGAACAGTCCAACCAACAACATCGGAGGCCACAACCACAACCGCAACCACAACCGCGCAACTACGCACCACGCGCTCTCGGTCGATCATAACGCCAACGCCTCCATCCCCAAACAAACGCAAGCGCAGCAGAGCAACACCACAACTCTCACCCAAACCCCCAATCCCGGAGCCTACAGCCAGAGACTCCCTCCTCCGAGACACAATCCCGCCAAACCTAATCCTCCTCCTCGTAGGCGTGAATCCGGGGCTAAAGACAGGGATAACGGGGCACGCGTACGCACACCCATCGAACCTATTCTGGAAACTCTTGTTTTCATCGGGAATAACGAGTATGCGCCACATACCAGCCGACACGTACAAACTTCCTGCGTTGTATAGCGTAGGGAATACGAACATCGTTGAGCGGCCGACGCGCGACGCGAGCATGCTCAGTCGTGCGGAGATGGATGCCGGTGTTCCTGTGCTCGAGGCTAAGGTTGCTGCGCAAAGGCCTGAGGTTGTTTGTCTTGTTGGGAAGGGGATTTGGGAGGCTGTTTGGCGGGTTAGACATGGGAGGGGGATTCGGAAGGAGGAGTTTCGCTATGGGTGGCAGGTGGAGGAGGAGAATATGGGTCGTTGTGAGGGTTGGGGTGGGGCGCCGGTTTTCGTCGCTACGACGACTAGTGGGCTGGCGGCTGGGATGAAGCTTGCGGAGAAGGAGGCTGTTTGGGCGGAGTTGGGGAGTTGGGTTGTTAGGAGGAGGGGGAGAGGGGGTTGGGTTCTGTGGTTGTTAAGGATGAGATTTAATATGGGGGTTGGATTCTATGGCTGTTAAGGATGAGGTTTAATATGGGGGGTTGGGATTTTTGGTGCTTTATATTTGTATAGATGATGTCTTTGTACCATATACTATCATGAGCTATGATCTTCGCTTGGTACTTGGTAAAGTATGGATCGGATTTACGAATGGAAATGTTCAAGACGAACTTGGGGATAAAAAGGTGTGTATTTATTTGTAGACGAGTGAAGTCGCTTATTATTCATTATCTCATGATACCAGGTGCAGAAGCCTGTGAGTACCAAGATGCAAACCCAAAAACGGCACACTCCCTCCAAGCCCATTCCAGCGCTGAAGATAAGAGGATGTAGCATGACGTTTTCCAAAAGGACCATACGTCGAAGTGCCATACAAGGGACGATTGAGGGATATGGATATCTCAAAGAGGTGAGGTCAAGATGAGGGGTAAAGAGAGGGGAGGTAAGCGGCTAGGATGTGCGTCAATAAGACAGCAACCCCTGTATGATTTCCCCATTGGCCCTGAAAGTTGTAGGGGACAAATCTAGCGGCTGCCGTTGGAGTCATTCTTGCCTCCCTCGCGCTCGCGTGCCTGTTGAAATGAAGTTAGTATACAGAACTCCACAATTGATTCACCGTGGAAGAGATACTGACCGTAGTGGCCTGGTATTCACCACCTTCCAGGATCTTGACCATGCACTCATCATCTTTGGTTGTACCGAATTCGTTCTGCAGAGCGCTCTGGCTAGCGGTATCAAGGACACCCTGGGCTCCGTGGCTGTATACAAATGTTAATGACCTGCCGTGATGATAAAGAAGCTGATAACACTTACGAGTGAGTCACGAAAATCTTCCAGCCGTTCAACACTTCAGTGAGAGGAACACTGCGGTCACTCTTCCACTTTTGGAGGATCTGGAGGTCATCGACGAAGACAATGAAGTCTTCGGAGCTACCCTTGTAGAAGATCTTGTTGGCGGTTTCGTTTCCACGGGCCATTTTGAAGGTTGAGTTTGGATAGTTTTGGATAGCTTTAAAAAGATTGAAAATATTAAAGATATTGAAGAGATTTGAGGAGATTTGAAGAGATAATGAAGATGAAAAGGGTAAAAGCTGGTGGTTTAATAGCTGTGACGGTGGGAGAGCTCAGGTGATGATGACTGGTGACATCATACTATGAGCTGATGCAAACAAACTGTTTCACTTTGTACTTCAACACAACATATAACAAATATAGTATATAGTATATTATTTGTAACAAATACAATTAAATCTATAATCAAATCACCAGTAGATAGCTTCTATGTCATTGGTGATTCTACATTTCTCAATGAGTTTGCCTAACTATTGCAGTCGACGTCATAGTAGTTAGCTCCCTCTCTGCTAGCTACCGGATCCGCTGTGACGCTAAACGTGGGGATAAAGTGGCAAGTTGGAAGAGATAGGATCTTCTTGAATTCCAATTAATAATTATTTTGGTTAGTTATAATCCAAGCCATTACGTTTTCAGGTTAATTATAGTACCTCCTGGACTCCTTGACTTCAATGCTTCGAATGTCCCAGAACCATCTCAAAAGAATAACACCTGCCCCACCTATATAACAAAGGGCGAATTCACTCAATTCACTCAGCGTCAGAGCGGGTCTTTTTCAGCTTCTTGGGTGCCAAGGCACTAAACAGATTCTTTGGAGATGACCACTTCTTGGAAGATGGAGATGACTCAGAACTTCCATCCTGACTCTGTCGCGGGTCACTGTGAGGCGAGGAGGGGTTTTTAGGTGAACCTTTGAAAAGGAATGTCTTTGACCGCCGAGGTGTGGTGGGGGTTTGAGGCAACTCATACTCGACTTCCTTATCCTCCCCTATCTCGCTGCTGTCCACCACACCCTTGTCCATTCCCTCGGGATCTCCGCCAGAGCGCATGTCGGTCGATGCTCTGCCCGGATGAAAAGTGCTGACAGAGTTCGACCGTTTGGTGAATCCCGGGCGAAGGCTAAGCCCTCTCATGAGCGGACCCCGTAGGAAGAGATCACCCCTTCCGAGAACCATTCCTGGCGATGGAAGGACATCTCCTGTGTAGACATCCGAGATCAGTCGCTCTAGTCGGACTCGGTCACTCCGACGAGCAGTCAATATCAATGCGGAGCGGTCGGCAGGTGTCTTGGGCCGTTCAATCTCGCCTTCGGCCTGCGCGACCGGTTCTTCAGTGTGGCGCGGGTAGTGCGTTTTCTTAATGACTACATGTTGAACGCGGGACTTGCGGGAGATGGTCGTTGAATCCATGGACCTCCGTGCCATAGAAGATACTGTGTATTGAACATGGTCTAGAGGCAACAGTTGGAGGGCCAAGAAAGAATGTTTTCTTGGCTCCCATGTCCTGGGCGGGTCCGTTTCGGCCAAAGCGACGCACATTTTGAGAATCTCCGCATTCCATTGCTTTTCTTCCACTGCCGATGATGCACTGAGAACAAATTCGTAGTGCCTATCCTGGTTTTGAAACAGAAGCTTCCATGAAAATATACATCCGTAGGAGTACAGCCCTGATGGGTTAGATATATACTACGAGCATAAATCTCAGAAAGTTACTCACCTTGTCCATTTTGAAGTGTATCAATCTTGACACTGTCTAGGTAGACACAGGCCACTGCTTCCAGCCGACGCTGGTCATCAATTCCCTTAGCGAAGAAAAGGTAGCGTTGAAAAAGCACACAGACCATGAACTCCCCATTGGTGATTTCCGCCGTTTGATATGTGACATGGAGCACACCGCACAAGATCAACGGGCCTAGGTCTTTATATATACTCTGGAGTGCGTCCTGCCCAAAATATTCAGTATTGTTCAGCTCGTCAATAAATATCTTGTGCCTACCGATTTCGAGATATCCACCTTCTTCTGCAGAACGATTGTCTTCTGGATGCGATCTTTGTTGACCGGGTTTCCAGCTGCCAGATTGATCCGCGTTACCAGCGTTCGCATACTGTCCAAAACTTGCTGAATTCCGTCATGGGAAGACGGACAATCACTAACAGGGGTAGATTTGAGCAGATCTTGTAGCACAAGGGGGTATTTGCAAAGACGTTGGATGGGCTATATTTTTGTTAGTGGTCGAAACTCCATCAGACCTAACTCACAGACCTTTATCAACATATCATTCAACGTCATTGATTTGTTGTCCTCTTGTCTGCGTCGCTCTGTCGACGCGACCGATTTTGACAGTGCCTCGATTCCCTGATCATATATTGTCCAGTTGGCGATCGACTGGCGTAGAAGAGCAACGTCCTGTGTCAATAGTTCATAGTTGCTGCAAAATTGGTCGTACACGGGCATTAAAAGTGACTATAAAATTCCCAGTCAGTGCATGCAATCCTATTTGGTGTACCGATACTTACCAATTTTTCAAGTTCACGGGCAACCTCTAGTCCCTCTGTTGGTTCAGCGGTGAGTGCCATGAGGCGCCGATTCACCGATGATTTGAGTGATCGGGTCCTCAAAGATCGTTGTTGGAGACCCTTTAGGTTACCCAGGTCAATGGTTCCTATACGCTTGGTGATTCCCCGGGATGTTAGCTCGGAGACGCCTGCCTGTTGAGCCTGAGGCGCTGACATGGGAGATGCCGTTTGAAGCTGGGTCAAAAAACGTTCATGGATTCCAAGGATCTCCTGGATGTTGTCATAGATCTCGCGCCTCGTGTCAAATGTCGTAAGGATCTGTGAGTTTACAGGGCACATCAGCATCAAATCAAGGAATGAAAATTCACTCAACGGCTTACTCCGATAAGAGCCTTCAGACCAAGTACATAATCAGACTCAGTCTCAACAAGTTCCTGTAGGATGTGGCGCCGTCTGGTGGCCCGTGTTTCCGCAGCCTCATCAGCATGTTGACTTGAGGTTGGCCGACAGCTCTCACCAGAATAACGCACATCCGATCGCATGCTCTGGCTTCTTGTGCTTTGGATAGTTGTCCTCGATCTTATCAAACTCTGGCTTCCAATGCTTGCAGTGGTTGTTTTGACGGTTCCGAGATGCGATGAGTCGGATGCACTCGACTGGTGACCTTGCGAGCCATGGGAAGATGAATCTGACCAGCCCTCCACATACTTCTTTCGATATATAGGAGACTCGTGTTTCCGTCCTCGAAAGCTGTCCATCCATTTCTTGAATGGACGAGTTGACTTATCGGTCGGAGTCACCCCACCGCTGCTCTCAAACTTCTCTTCGGATGCATCATCCAGCAGGGGTTGTTTCTCGATGTTCATTTCATCTTGGTCCGCCATGGTCCCAAATAGAGACCCCGCCCAATAGAATATAAGGCTCGGATTCCGGTGGCATGGAGAAGGAAGAGGCGGACCTAACCGACTGCTCAAAACAACCGGATCGAACTTCATGGCGAGGGAGGAGCAACACGGAGTACCTGCCTCGTCTACATCTCCGACGGTGGAAAGTGCACGTTCAGAAAACAGGGGAAACTGCCACTATCCAGGCAATACATGGTAGAGATGGTGGATTTGAATCCCATCCATCCATGTACGTCATGAGGTGAGGCAGCGAGATAGCTGGAATTGAAATAACACATTTTATCTTTATCCTTTGGTGAGTATCTGAGCCTCTTTCTTTCATGTAAGATGTGTGTTATATCCTGAATGTGAAACTTTCAACTTGAACGAAGTCCAAGTCGTATACTTCGAGTGCCAAGCATCGCCGCTTATATAAAAATAGCGGGAGCTCCAGGGCTGCTCAGATGCACCCCCCCCCAAGACCCACCTGACCTTCTTCTCCTCCCACTTCCTTCCTTTACTCAAATCATCATGGACAATGATATTCATGCTCCAACTGTTGCCTCTGGACCGGCATCTGGGGCTGCTCCCCGCGATCTGTCCAAGTTGTCGATGCCAGATCTGATGCAGGAGAAAGAACGCATCGAGGCGGAACTGTCAGCTCTTAGTAGCGTCCTCCAGTCGGTGAGATTCCCGACCCGGAAGTGCTTATCGCCGTTTCTAACAAGCCTTTTCGTTTCAGCATGGAGTACGCATGACTTCATCTCTTACCACCTTCGACGGTTTCCCCCGTGATGATATCGACATCGCGCAAGGTACGTCCCTACCACATCCCAGTCGATCAGAACATATTGCTTAAGGGATATCGTAGTTCGCACAACACGCGTGCGCATTATCCACCTACGGAACGACCACAAGGAGGTGATGCAACTTATCGAGAAAGGTGTCCACGCACATTTCGCCAACCTACAAAATACGCAAGGCGCCAGCCCAACTACGAATGGCACCAACGTTCCACCGGCTGCGCAATCATTGACGAATACCACCGCGTCGGGGACACCCTTTGCCAAGGTCAATAGCGTGGTTTCGGGAAGTCCAGCAGACCAGGCAGGACTGAAAGCTGGCGATGCAATTCGAGGTTTTGGGAATATCAATTGGCTGAACCACGAGCGCCTTTCAAAGGTTGCGCAAGTGGTTCAAGAAAATGAAGGGGTACGTTCTGTTCTCTGCCCTTCTGTCGGAATACTGACATGTCTGACTCTTTCTCTACAGCGGGCAGTATCGGTCAAAGTCAGCCGGAAGGATGAAGGAAACACTGAAACCACAACGGAGTTGGACCTCCAGCTCACCCCTCGACAGAATTGGGGCGGCCGTGGCCTTTTAGGATGTCACTTGGTTCCGCTATAAAGGGACACTTCCACTCAGACTAACAAGTATAACCCGGTTTTGCTACCATCGTGTACATTGATGATATGTACTGTTTATGACTAATGTGAGACGTCCTTTCTGCCTGTTTTCCACAAAATACTTGAGTGCCTGTAAAGAGAGACTGGGAAAGCGTATGCATAGCAACGGCACTGAAGATAACTCGGCAGGCCAAGACCTGACCACCAAAATTTATTTCAATAAGCCAATAAGACAATAAATACAAGAAGAGCTAGCTCATCATGAACATGATCCCTACACTTTAATAATAATAAAAATTGCCATTCAAAATAGCGACTTCAAATATGTTTGCGCGATTGTTGACACTACGTCAGAACGCCTGAGGCAAACATACACGTGACCCGCAGCAACGGGGCAAAAATTCCATCCAGCGCTATTAATTCATTCCCCTTCTTTCACCCCTCCCTTCTATCAACAACCCGCCCCCATCCCTACGGCGCGAAATCTTGAATCCTTCTTTTCTTCAAGTTTCTCTCTAACCCATTTTAATCATGGCTGAGACCCCCACTTTCAAGCTCGTCCTGGTCGGTGACGGCGGTACTGGAAAGGTAAGCGCATTCAAGCCTTGATATCTGATCGTTGATGGGCATGGGTTCAGAGTGGCAGCCATCTGGACAGCGATGGTCATCTCATGATATCCATGGATACACTGAGCTACTCTTTTATGACTGCCCTCTTGTCCCCGCGCCTGTCATCAATACTAAATATCTGCCCAACCGCCCCGCCTCACCGCGACTTCATTACTAACACAGTGAATCCCAACAGACCACTTTCGTCAAGCGCCACTTGACTGGTGAATTCGAGAAGAAGTACATCGCCACCCTTGGTGTCGAGGTGCACCCCCTCAACTTCAACACCGTATGCTATTACCCCGCCGAAGGACCCCGCTTCGAACTGTGCCATGGTGTGATCCTTGCAACTAACCCAACCTGAACAGAACTACGGTGCCATCCAGTTCGATGTCTGGGATACCGCTGGTCAGGAGAAGTTCGGTGGTCTCCGTGATGGTTACTACATCAACGGCCAGTGTGGTATCATCATGTTCGATGTCACTTCCCGTATCACCTACAAGAACGTCCCCAACTGGCACCGTGAGTGACCCTTTCTGATCGTGGACCGATTCAGATCATTTTTGACTAATAGAAACATAGGTGACCTCGTCCGTGTCTGCGAGAACATCCCTATCGTCCTCACCGGTAACAAGGTCGACGTGAAGGAGCGCAAGGTCAAGGCCAAGACCATCACCTTCCACCGCAAGAAGAACCTCCAGTACTACGACATCTCCGCCAAGTCCAACTACAACTTCGAGAAGCCCTTCCTTTGGCTCGCTCGCAAGCTTGTCGGCAACCCCCAGCTCGTACGTCATTCTGTACCTTGATTCGAATACGAGCCGATCGAAACTGACTGATTATCTTTTAGGACTTTGTCGCCGGAGTTGCCCTTGCTCCCCCGAGGTTACCGTCGACGAGAAGCAGCTCGAGGCTTACCGCAAGGAGATGGAGGAGGCCGCCAACCAGCCCCTCCCCGACGAGGACGATGCCGACCTGTAAATCCGTGCGCTCAACGACGGGTCCACGAAGTTTCCGAAATGAAAGTTGGGAGTCGCGATACCCTGTTCTCCCCTACGTTCCCCGAGTCCCATCTCACAACAACGGGTGGGAGACAGGAAGTATACGACCCCTGGGGATTGCTTTTTTTTTTTTTTAGTTTGGGTTTTGCACTGCAAAAGCAAAGTCTGTTCTCCGAAATCACGATACAATGAAAGCGGATGGGGGATAGTCGTGGTTTGAAGACATGCATTTTTTTTCCTTTTTGATTTCCCCCAATCTTAGTAGCTTAGACTCTCACATCCCAATTGTCCTTTTTTTCCCTCTCTGAAACGAGCACATCCAAAAAAGCATGTCCTCTTTTAACAAGATTTTAAAACTTCTTTTTTTTTTCTCTTGAATATTCACTAAAACAGATAGATTTATCTGAAAGTCTCGTCGAGTTGGAATAATAGAAACTACTTGAATCACGAGCAGAAAAGAGGAAGGTTTGTAAAAAAAGACAGCAAAGGTTGGCCTTTAGACATTACATATTGAAGAGCACAACGCCCTTTCCACGAGACAGAACAACAACGCCAGGGTATAGGAATCTTTGGCCTCAAAAAAAAGGCAAAAAAAAGGCAAAAAAAAGCACCAAAAAAAAGACAACTGATTCCTGCGCCAAACACCAATCACTTGGATATGGCAGAAAATAAAATAGCAATCATATCATCGGACCACCTTCAGTTTTCGAGATCAAGATCATCCGGCAAACAGGACACATGCAATTAAGAATGATTACAAGTCCCTCACGCCCTGTATAATAAAAAGAGTGGTTAGCAAAGAGACCAGTGGGAGTAGAAAACGGGAAAATATATCGAGGTAAAAACGTACAAAGAGATAAGCAAGTTCCCTGGCATCCAGCCGGGAGACATTCATAGTACCACCCTCATCGAGAGCACCGCTAATCAGCTCACGCTTCTGGTCCTGGAGAGTAACAATGCGATCCTCAACGGTATTCTCGATAAGCAAACGGTGAACAAAGACCTCTCTCACCTGCCCGATACGGTGGGCACGATCAACAGCCTGGTCTTCAATGTAGGGATTCCAGAAAGGATCGAACATGATAACATGCGAGGCGGCGACGAGGTTCAGGCCGGAGTTACCAGCCTTGAGGGAGACGAGCATGATCTTGCATGCGGGGTCGTTGGTGAAAGCCGTCACGGCGGCGTTACGTTCTTTCAGATCCATGCTGCCGTCGAAGCGGGTGTGGTTCCATCCGCGACGGGCGAGGGGGACTTCGAGAAGATCCAAGAGGGAGGTGAACTGGCTGAAAATGATGGTTTTCTCTTCTAAGCCGCGGTCTTCATTGGCTTGGAGGATCTCAAGCGTCTTGGTGATTTTTGTGCTAGGGAACCAGCCCTTCTCGAGGCGGCGAAGGTATTTCTTCTTCTCAGCCTTGTTCTTCAAGGCGTCCTTTCGTAGCTCGGCCAGAGACTTCGATTTCTTTTTCGATCCCCCCTCGCTCTCTTCAGTAGAGCTGTCGGAGTCATACTCGTCACTGCTCGCTGTTGCTTCTGAGTCTTCCTCGTCGTTGGCCCCGTTGATGTCACCGTCTCCGGCAGCAGATTTGGGCATCGAACTGGGATCGTGAACTTGGTTGAACGAATTGGTGTCGGTGAGCTTCGCAGGGTCCACAGGTCCTCGGCAATTCTGGCACTTGATCACAGTTGGACCATCATCTTCGAGGTTGATGGCTCCATTTGCAGCTGCGGAGTCGGAAATGCGGATCCAGCACTCCGAGCACACATGGTGTCCACATGGAATGTAAATGGTCGCATTTTTGACACTGTCCATGCAGACAGGGCAGGTGCCATCCTCTTCGCCGTCATTTTCTTTGATACGTTGCACTACAGCAGCGCTCAGAAGTTTGGCGTTGGCGATCTTATCTACTCCCGGGAGAGACGGGGAAGGTTCGTTTCGGAACTCCTGCATGAGGAGTGGATGGCAGCATGCCTGCCGAAGACGAAGGAGCAGAACTAGAACATGGCTGTAGTTTCTGCCCAGAGTTCCGGAGTCGAGGTATCGGGTGATCTGCCTTTGAGTAGACGTATTGAGCTCCTCATAAACCTGGTTTTCCCTTTCATCAAACACAACATGGACCTTCTCGGTGACCTTTGGTGGGAGTTGCAAGATGGGCTCGCCATCAATCTTGGAGGTTTTTGTACGGCGGAGACAGACAGACTTGACTAAGACACGTAGTTGCTTCATAACATCCTCTCTCCCCCAACCAGATTTGATGCGTTTGACGAAATCCTGTAAAAATATGAACGTTAGTCACCTAGAGAAGTACCAACAGCGAGCTGTGGAAAGTACTGACCGCTTTGAACTTTGCTGGGTTGCTGTAAGGCCTAATCCGGAGGAATCCCAATAGGGACTGGAAATCTTCGAGACGATTCATCATGGGCGTACCAGTCAGACACCAACGGTAGGTAGCATTAAGTCGACAGCATGCCATTGAAGACTTCGCGCTTGGATTCTTGATGTTCTGTGCCTCGTCGATGATGACTCGGTGCCACTTGGCGGCGGGATTGAGAGGACCCGCCGAATCTTTGCGTTCTTGAACCCGTGAGGCATGGTGCCCTTCCTCTGCCATCTTTTCCGCCCCGAGCAATGTTTTGTAGTGCGCAGTAATGGTACCAAACGTCGTGATGATGACATCGTACCTTTTAAGCTCCTTCCATGGCCTGCGCCGTTGATGGTAGATCAATACCGATAGTTGGTGCCTTCCTGGCTTGACATGACGCTGAATTTCGAGTCTCCATTGATCCATGAGTGCCTTGGGTGCGACAATCAAAGTCGGGCGTCGGTCTTCGTCTTCGAATGGACGAGCAACCATCAGCGCAATCGCTTGGATAGTCTTACCGAGGCCCATATCATCTGCAAGGATTCCTCCTTTGTGATTGCTCTCTTCCTTGGCCTTCATCCATTTCAGGCCGATCTTCTGGTGTTTCATCAATGTGACTCGAAGCGCATTTGGTGTCTCCTCATTATCCGCTCTAGTTGCCTCTCTAATGTCTTTGATACCGCCAAGTAAGTTCTTGATATCTTCGGGGAACTCTTTCTCGTTGTAGGCCCTATATTGAACGAGTTAGAATCAGAACTAGCTGCTTTAAAAGATGCGGAACATACACTATATCAGCATCGTCATCGAATATTTCGTTCTGGTTGCGAACCAGGTCAAAGGCCTTGTCGAACTTGTCAAACCTGTCAAATGTACCAGGCATTGGAGTGTGTGAAGGGTCACGCGCCCAGGGCAAAGGTCTGGAGACAACTGGGCGATAGGACATCTTGGAGGGGTTCGACAATTGGGAGGGATAGGCCATCTGTGAAGGATACGCCATTTGGGAAGGATACAACATTTGGGAGGGGTATGTCAACTCAGAGGGGTATTTCATTTGGGAGGGGTATGTCAACTGAGAGGGATATGGAATCTGCGAGGGACGGGGTGGATTCGAGGAATATGGCGAGTGGAGAGACGACGAGTGTGGATGGGTGAAGGAATTGGATTGGCGGGCGGGCTGCTTGCCGGATCGAGAATTGAATGAATCAACAGTGATTTCTTGAAGATCATCGTCGGAATTGAACGGAGTGAGTTTATTGAATGAGGCTATCGGGGAATGTGTTTGATGGTCACGAATGGCTTTTGATGAAAAAGGTTCGAGTTTTACAGGTTGACTGCGGTCTGGCAGAACCCATCCATCCTGCTCAGTGAAGCCGTTGACGGGGACTTGATTGTGATCCTCGTCGGCTTGGAGCGCACGAGCCAATTCTTCGTCTCGTTTCAATTGAAACTCTCCTTCAATCAACCTCGCCTGCTCATCACGCTCTTCTCGGAGTTCCGTTACGTGGGCTAGATCGTCACCTGCCGCATCCACCCATTGGTTATACACGCGGTTACTCTCGGCAACGGTGGCTTCTTTTTCGGCATCTATCGCGTCGAGTTGAGATCTGCGAGATACCGGCTGCGAGGGAGCAATCCTTTTTGATGATCCCTGTGTCGTGGGCGAGACGTGAGATAGTGGACGCTGGCGTTTACGAGAATTATCTGGAGAAGACGGCATCATTGGTGAAGCTGGCAACACTGCCGAATGGCGAGAATCAGCCGCAAAAGGCGAGGGCGCCGCCGAAGGCCAGTGAGGGGATGCATATGAATCCCCCGGGACTCCAGTGAAAGCAGTCGACGGCATTCGTGGAGCAGGGGCAGGCGTCCGGACCGACGGAGGGGGCGACGACACTTGTGGTGTCGGGGCAGCTTGAGAAACAGAAACGGGACTACCAAGGAGAGCGGCAACCTGGACTTCCATATTCCTGATGGTGTCACGAAGCTCGTCTGCTTCTTCACAAGCACCCCGCGTCGCGAGTAGATCATCGTAGATGTATCTGTAGGTATCGAGATCTTCTAGAAGATCTTTGATTTTGTCCTCTTGGGACTGATCGACGGAAGAAGCCATGGCTCAAGAGCACCTGGCGCTAACCGTGCAACCTTCCAAGACTAATATATCTGACCAAACTATCCCGATCGTTGATACCGTGGTAGAGCGGCGACGGCGATGGGTGTGACAAAAGTCCAGGATCAACGGAGCTATAACGTCAAGTGGGCGCCTAAGACGAAGAGTAAAGTATGCTGGGAAAATCAATCGGCGAAACTTGGGTTCTCATCAGCAAACGGTAAGGCAGAAAGCGGGTGGTGGCAGATGGCACAGTGACGAAGACAAAGAAAGCACAAAAGGTAATTCATCATGCTGTGTTTGTATGTTGCCTAGTCTGGGTATTTGCAGAGGATGTAAACTTACGTCGAGTACTCGTCGACGATTCACTGGGGAGAATCTGTGGTTGACGGAGCGGATTGTAGGAACTCGGGAGCGAAGAGGTGGCGATTGCTAAAATGGGAGAGCGGCCGTTTTTATAGTGCAAAAGATCCGATGGAGAAGGCACTAGTGTTGACGCACTTTGCGACCGTTCAGCTGGCCCCCGGGGTCGAGGTGTTCACCTTTGCGGGGGAAGTTGGAAGTTCTCGCCCAGGATGTTATCGTCTATCGCAGTACATAGCGACCACTAGGACTTTGCTCCTGTTGACTTTTATTGCCAGCAGAAAATTGGCCATCTAAAGACAGTTCAAAAGACCATTTAAAAGATATTTAAAAGACATCTAAAAAGACCTTGAAGATATATATCAAAATAGGTAATCGTTGAAATATCCTTCTTATCACCCTAATATTACATTGAGATCATCTTAAACCAACTAGACATTCAGATTATCCAAGTCCTATATCGGCAAGTATAGAGGCAGTATAAGCAGCCAACTACTCTGATTCTATATAAATGACCAAATCACTCTAAATCTACCGAAACTTCTCATCAGAAACTTGACAACTATAACAATTTAAGTACTGTATAATGTCCACTTATATTAGAAGTGACTTTGAAGAAGGCGGAGACAAGAGCGGTGGATCTTAAATGCCAATTAAGACAAAGTCTCTATGTGGCCGCTATCTGCAGTGGTAGTTGTGAAAGGTTCCACGAGGCACTTTTACTTGAGCCCCCTTCAGGCACTATGGTTTTATTCATTGTTATATGTAGTACAGAAGTATTGAGGTCTTACAGAAAAGGTTCTTTACTAATATAGAGATGAATACTTAGAAGTATGTAGGTAGTTCTACGCATTTCCCTGCATCGCCGTACAACCTGTCATTGATGTAAACGCGCTCTTATCAACACGTGACCATGCGCGTCACGCGCCAAACAAACTAAACACAGGGCTAGGTGCCACTTGCCCTAATATCCAAATTGGGCACTAGACAGACACCCGAGGCTTCTAGGCATCCATGTAGGTTAGGTAGTTCTGGTTTCAGCCATATCGGAGGAGTAGTTTCAACATTTCCATCATGACTGTGAGAGATTGCTATGACTCATATGATACCTCGGCTGGAGGAGGAATTGTCGAATTGCATGTTGAAAGAGAAGTAGGGGGACAACATTCGACGTGCAGCTTAGGCTGCAACTGGTTCTGATAACTATCTAGTCTAGGGGAAATATCTCTTACATGTAGTTGAAACATAAACCAGGGGGAACAAACCACTTGCATTCAATGTAAGGTCTGAAGATAGGGGATTATGTTTGTATATGTTGATTTGCAGGAATTAATCAATTGGTGATGTACTAGATTGTTCTACCCCCGCCCATCTACGTGTCATACTTATATTACCAATCGAGCTTCTGACTCGGGAATATATATCTGGAAAAGGCTTCTGCCGGAACTAACGGTCAATCATGGGATAAGAACAGGGACTGGTTCGAGTGTGGAAGACGAAGCGCATCTAACAAATTCTCACAAGCCATCTAGAGAACGTAGAACGAGGACCTGACTGTATGTCGTCTAGTATATCGCAAGTTCACTGTCAATCTCGCACCCAGGCCATGACGTTTAAGATTTCACATGATAAGGGGACCTTCTTACCTCCAACCCTGGATGCAATCATGGGGACAGAGCAAACCTTCATCTACACACTACAACTGTGCCAAAGGCCTATATATGGCAGCCGGAAAATGACAGAACAGTTAGTCAAGCAGTATCCGCCTGTGTTCCATGTATCTATCAACATCCCTCATTTGTCCAGGCGTTGGCTATGATGAACGGCTTGCAGCATTTGCGAATCTCCTGCGAGGGTCAGGTACCAAGCCATCGCCACGCCCAGATCCGCAAGCTCACGGTCCATTTGACGAGTTTCGGCCATGAGCCAGGTCAACCGACAGACCACCTCAAGCTCTTTCATGTATAATTAGGTAGCTTCCCATCTCTGCAAATACTGGTCTTTCATTGGGAAGAATGCCGTCAGAGGTGCGTGTTACCCTTACGGCTGGAGCTGGTCAATGCAACAATGGACGCGTCGCAAACCGCGTCTTTCATGGAGGAACATCACAGTTCCCTGCGCGAGTTCAATTTCCAGAATGTGGTGCTTCGCAGCCGTAATTGGGACGACACGCTCGCGCCATTGACACAACTCACCCACACCATGGATGTGCCAATAGTATTGAGTCCAGCGGGAGTCAGCCAAAAGCAGTTAAAGAAGGCGACTTGCGATTTGCAGCAACAAAAGGACAGAGGACGCTACGAAGCTTGGCCAAAGCGCGATTTCGGACACACGAGCTGCTGTGGGAGAGCCTAGATCATATGAAGCGATTGCAGGGGTCTTCGGTGTTTAGTTGGAGGTGACGTCAGAAAGGGTTCGCAAAGTTCTCTTCCGAGGGAGGATCAGCATATGTTAATGAATGTAGCAGTGTCGCGGTGAATACCGCATTTGTACAACATTCAGGTCTCAATGCAACACAAGCGCGGTTTATGTGGAGTCTGGAGGGTGGGGGGATTTCAACACGGGGAAGACTAGAAGAGAGGATTGAGACCTCGGGAATAAGAGAAGTGCAGATCTTAGTGGAGTCTGGGCATAATCCCAGAGAATCAAGCAGAAAAAGAAGAAAAAAACAGAAGGGAAGAATCACAGACACAAGAGAGCTTGTGGGGAAGATGTGGGTTGGGGGCCTCGGCACCTGCGGACGGTCAAGTCAGTTCACATGCTCTGGCAGATTGTCATTTATAGTCAGTCGGTCACCCGCCTTGACTTACCAACTCACACTTGTACTACCATATATTCACCATGTCTCTCAAGAAAGGTATGCCCCCTTTTTCTATCTGTCTACACCTGTCAGTACCAGCTAACCAAAATAGATTCCCACCCCTCGTCCGCTGCCTTCGACGTCATCAACAACGCCCTCCAGGCCAACGAAGCCGACCGCAAGAATGCCCTCTCCCAGGCCAAGGCCATCTTCGCCTTCAACCTGAAGAACTCCAGTGGTGAGGAGGCTGCTTGGTACCTCGATCTCAAGAACAAGGGCGAGGTTGGACAGGGTGCTGCCCCTGCTGGCAGCAAGGCTGATGGTGAGTCTACATCCCTGATCTGCTTGTTGATGTGTCGCGTTTCATACACACGAATGCTAATTTCTCTCCTTCAATAGTGACCCTCTCCCTCTCCGACGCCGACTTCGCCCAGCTCGTTTCCGGCAAGGCCAACGCTCAGCGTTTGTTCATGGGTGGCAAGTTGAAGATTAAGGGTAACATCATGAAGGCGACCAAGATGGAGCCTATCCTGAAGAAGGCACAGGGTGGTGCCAAGCTGTGAAGATTAGATACCCTTTTGAGAAATTATATACGAAGTCCCTCTTCTGCCAGGGCCCTTATTTTCGACTTTCTACATTGGGAATATTTTGGTTGTCCACATTTGAGTATACAAATGATCTTGATATGTGCCGATAGTCACATATCGGACTGATGAACGCCAACTCTACAAGTCCCGCACATGCCCCTGTCTCGAAACCCGCCCCTGATCCAAAACCACAAAGTATTCTGCATCCTTAACAGCTTCTATACGATGCGCAATCGTAATGACAGTAGACTGCTGCAACTCCTCCCGGATGATTTGTTGAATCTCAAGAGAGGTATCATGATCAACAGAAGCAGTCGCCTCATCGAGAATGACAATCGCGCTTCGACGAAGGACAGCCCGTGTCAGAGCAATAAGTTGCCGTTGGCCCTGGCTAAGATTCCTTCCTCCAGCTTCAATATGTGTTCCAAGATGCCAGCCGTGCCGACTACACAGACGCTGTAGGACTTCAGTGCACAGCTCATCGGAGTAATCTTCCGTGGGATCCAGATTGAGTCTGATGCTACCAGGGAAGAGGACGGGATCTTGTGCGACGAAGGTAACCCGGGTGCGCAGTGCTTGTGTGTTGACGTCGGCGATATTGATGCCGTCGATGAGAATGCGACCGGACTCAGGTCTGATAACGCTTAGAAGGGACATTGCCAGTGTTGACTTGCCGCTGCCAGTACGGCCGATAACCGCTGTAGTGGACCCCCCGGGAATGCGAAGAGAGACGTTTATAAGTGAGGGGTCGAGATGCGGTGCGTAACGGAGAGTTGCATCTTCGAAGATAACGTCGCTGCCGTAAGTTGGCCATGCAGCTGGGGGAGCGATGGTACCGGGAGTTTCTTCTTCGATATGGAGTAGCTCGTCGACTCGCTCTACCGACACAAAGTCCATTTGAAGTTGGCCGTACTGCTTGCACAATGCATGTGTGGAATCGACAAAGTTGTTCGCAGCAATAAGCACGAATGCTACCAGCCCCGGCGTGGTATTGGTGTACAAGGCTAGAGCTGTTAGGCAAAAGGTTGAGAAAGCGGACAGGCTCTCAAATCGGTACATGAGCCAGCTCTGGAGTGACCAGTAGAAATGATCCATTCCCTGAAACTTGTCAACCACGGATATAACCCGGTTCTGGAACTGCGACTCTGCATGGAAAGCTCGGACAGTGGTCAGACCGTGTAATAGCTCTCCGAAGTTGGACAACAAAGGACTTAGGGACACCATCTCGAGTCGTCGTAGGCTCTGAGACGTGGGAAGGAAACGCAGGAATACCAGGACAAACGCGACGGTGAGAACAAGGGAGAAGAATAAAAACACCGGAGTAGCGGTTGCTATTACCAGGACAGAGGAGATCCAAATGATAGCCTGGAACGCGATCACCTGGAATTGTTCACTAATATTGCCATCGACAACTCCAATATCAGATGTGAGACGGTTCATCAAGCGCCCGAGAGGGATTGTATCTTTGGAATGATTTAGCTTTGTCCTGTTGAGCCAATCTATATAACTTACCCAAGTATCGGAATGTCGCATGGCTAACTCGGACCAAGACCCGTCGGAACAAGGACTGCCCAGCATAGTAAACAATCACCAGCATTAGAAGCTGAGCGACAAGGAGTGTGGCCGCTTGGAATGAGATGATAGCGAAAAATGTCCATAGCCAGGGTCGCACATCCTCACGCGGAGACGGTAGTTGGTCTATAGGGCTCTGAGGCGTAAAGTATGTGTTCATGTTCAGATTCGAGATTAACCAGGCTCCTTGTGATGAGCTGTTACTCGAGTCTGAGAAATCCCCTTGAACAACAGTTGTCTGCTCGTAGGCTTCTCCCCACCCTTTGAGGAACCATGATTGACCAACAGCCATCAGTCGATAGATTGCCAGGACCAGGACGAGGGTAAGCCACCATCGATACTTTCCTGCCTTGACATAATTCCAGTAGACTCGAGCCTTGACACCCCCGTCTGCTCGATGCTCTTCCTCGATGAATTTATCAGGCACAGCAGCTGTTTCCTCCTCAAGGGTGGTTTCCACTTCTGTTTCGTTTTCATGGTCGATAAACTGCAGAGACGACTCGGTCACGTCAAGCTTGATAGTATCCTTGTCGTAAATAGTGGCATGCTTTTCACAAATATTGATGATTTGATCCGCAATTTGACGAACCAACGTAGTTCGATGCGTCACCAAAACGATAGTTCGGTCTTTCATCAACGGCCCGGAAAGGCATTTGCGGACTATCAACTCCGCAGTATTGTGATCTAACGCAGACAAGGGATCGTCCAAAAGGAGAACCCGCGATGCGCTATAGACAGCCCTTGCCAGAGCTACTCGCGCTTTTTGACCACCTGATAAGCCAATGCCATTTTCACCCACAAACGATAAATCGCCATGTTTGAATTGAGCAAGATCTGGAAGCAAGGCGCAGGCTTCTAGTGTCCGCTTGTAGCGCTGGTCGTGATAGGGAGCGGAGAATAGAATGTTATCACGAATACTCATGCTTTGTAGCCACGGTGTTTGAGCGCAGTATCCCATCATTTCGTTTGGAATTTGGACTGAGCCGCTAAGTCTATCGAGTTCCCCTAAAAGAGCTTGCAGAAACGCGGTTTTTCCAGCACCGACCTTGCCAGTGACAACAGTCAGTCCTTTGGGGATGGTGACATCGATATCAACGAGGACTGGTGAGGCCTTTCCTGGCCATGCGAACGAACAAGATTGCATGGAGAGTGGCGTGTCGTTCGGCAGGGGTTCAGAAGGTAGATTCTCCTTATCTGGTTCGGACATGAAGTCCTCAATACGCCCAAGGGCAATGAAGGCATTGATAAGAGATGTGATAAGACCAGGGATATCCCGAAGACGGGTCTCTAGCATGGTAAACAACTGCAATGCCGGGAATATAATATCAATACGCAGCTCATGCCCGGCCAAAAAGGTATATGCGTATAACGCAACCACTGGAAATACTCCGCTGGCGAAAGCATTGATAAAGCGAATCAAGATACTCCACAGACTAGTCACAATCCGAATATTCAACTCATGTTGTCGGGAATCCATTACCTGCTGAAGCCAATGATTCTGCCATCCGTACCATCGCAGGTGACGGATTGCTTCCACAAATTGCGAAGTTATTTGCAGTCTTGTATCCGTTGCCACTCGTCTGACCCGCTCCCAGCGGAGGAGAGCTCTGGTCACCAATGCATTCACGACCTGTGCAACCACAACAGCTAATATTCCCAGGAAGCAAGATGGACCGAAGAGTGTCCAGACGAGGAAGGTAGCGATTAGCAGTCCTAGTGGCTTGTCAATCAACGAGTGAACCTCCCAAAATCTCTGTGCAACTTCATATACGTCTCCGCGCAAGAGATTGAAGATTTTGCCAAGTGATGCAGCTTCTTTAGCCTGTTTTTGTGGGGCCTTTGGGTTGCGAGAAATGATACGTTTCCAGAAACCTTCCATACTTTTGCTTGAGGGTTCGTGGTTCTCTTGGACGACGGCCTCATCATTGATTCCATTTGCTTCTTCGTCGCGATGTCCCGGGTTGCCCTCAACCATTATCCCAGAGATGTTCTTTCGTGAAAGGGCTTTTTCATAGACCATCATGATCATTTCACCCCTCGACCGTTCATAGCTTCGTCTTCCGTACCACAGAAGTAACACCTGAGACTGTGCAGCAACAAGTCGAAGAGCGAAGGACATAAAAGCATAGGTCAAAGGGACGCGTTTTGGTCGGGACGGATCTTTCATGGCCTGTAATAGTTGCTGCAATAAAACGGGAGTAGAAAAGTCTGTTAATATTATTAGCGAGAGAAACAAAAGAAAAGAAAAATCAGAATTTCCATACCGCATATCATTTGGACAAGCGAGATGGTAGAGATAATAAAAACATCAATTCCATTGGCTCTCAGCAGCCGACTGAGGACAGAGCCACGAAGTCGACGAAACTTTTCATGTAGACGGCTGTGTTGAAAGTCAA